TGACTCTAAGTGAGCTGCAATCACAGTGGTCCAGCTGTCGACTGCTCTTCAGAGAAAAATGGTTCAGTTACGAATCTAGCTGTCATTCCACACCAAGTGGTGTGGAATGACTGCTATGCAATTGAATGCAGTAGGAGAATGCAATGGAACTAGGTAGATAAAATGAGGGATTTCTTTTTGAATCAGTATCTTCATGTTTTAGGGCCGAATTCAGACTTCAAAAATTACAAATTAGAGATCTATGAGAAAACGATTTCGCACTTGTGCGAGTGATTTGCGATCTCACATTTTCTAATAGCTAATTCCTGGTTTTTACGGACGAATTTCTCACTTACACAGGATGGCGCACTCGACTTTTATCGAATTTAACGCCTTCAAATGGTAATTTGCTTACTTCAAAGTTTCTTAAGGGTATACAACATATTAAACCCATGTACCAAAAGGTTAAGTTAGATTCCGACCCATATTTCGTTTAACAATATTGCATACAGCGCCATTACCCCCTGGTGGTGAGATTTGAGCTTCCTTTTTTTCGTGGAAAATAAATTCCCATGACCTCCTTTACACAATTACCAACTTTGATAACATTAGATCCAGTAGTTTTCTTTTTATGATCGTTTCAATGTGGAACTTTTAATTATAACCACTCTGTATATTATTAAATTTTAATTTGAAGCTATGCATAAAAGGAAATATAAATATATATCATAAAAGGAAAACTACTGGATCAAAATAGTTAAAAATACCATGTGTAAATTTTTCGCTTTTATGGAAAAATAAAGAATCAAAGCAAATATACTTAGTATAATGGACCAAAACTGAAAAAATTTCCCCTCCCTCCGAAAATCAAATATTGAAACTTCGACCTTGAATTTATTGGGTTATCGAAATATTTAATTTATCTTATCTTCTAAGTCCTAGTTCCGAAAACAATTCCGTCAAAAATTCCGAATTACTTAAGCTGAAGTAAAAGATTTAGTATATATTCACTGTCAGTTAATAAAGTAATCAGAGTGTAATAAAAATAAATTATAGAATTTACGCTGATGCAACTTTTTGTCTGACTGCACAACATGTAATGGAAGAGAAGGCTTGTAGAGATCTGTTTTTGACATGCCTCTAGAAGTAGATGTCATACTCCTTTTGTCTCTTCAATGTCAAAAAACTTTCCTTTGAGAGGCAACATAGTTTTTGGAAAAGAAAAAAAAATCACAAGAAGACAAATTTGAAGAACACGCAGGACGATTGAGTGCACATACTTATTTTCGGAACACAAGCGGTTCTCTGACTGGTTATTGAATAATGAAAAGATGCATTTTCATGCAATACAAAACATTTAGAATGCGTTTTCTGACTGAAAACGTAAGATTAAAAGTCATCTCCTTAATTCACAGCCATTTACAAAGTCAACTACTTGGGCAATTGCAGAATCGTTTTGATCCTGAGCTTGTAAGACAAACCTAATATCGCTGGATTCAAACACTTCTTTAATCTTTTGAGAACATTCCTTCTTTAGCTCATATTCCAAGAATATTAAGTGAATACAATTATTGCAAAAGAAATTGAATATTCATTTGCACTACAGCTTGGTTACTAATGAGTTAACAAAACTTAAATTCTGCTTTTTGTGTCTAAGAATACAACAGTATTTTAAATATTTACAAATAAAATATTAAACTGGAGATGTAATTGGAGCCTCACCAGTTGCCTAGCATTTGATGATTGTTAAATACTAATTGTTTGTTGTGAAGTCTAACCCAGGCTGCATGGTTGGTTTTCGTAGATTTCTAGGTTTTTTTTTTACAAAGGTTCTCTATGAAAGCATTTTAATCAAAGAGCTCCCATGTTCTTTCTATGTTCAAATAACCAACTAACCTAGTTTAAGCGCGATTTCCAAGTGAAGTTACTAGCAAAACCTGAATACTCATTAAAAATTATGTAGCTTGCCAATCGGGAGTAACATGAAAGATACGGCGCCAATAATTAAATTGCTGTTACAGTACGCTGTTTCTAAACCTAGATGGTCATTCCTTAATTATATAGCTCACCAGCGGCAGAGCGGTAAAGACGCTGAACACTGGTAGTTCGGTCTGAGGTTCGAATCCCCGGGAATGGTCTGGCTGCAAGGGCGTTTCCGTGGTTTTTCCCATGTGTAATGTGTATACGAGCCAGTTTCCCTTAGAAAGTCCTCCACGAAGGCATCCCTCCCTTTAGGCAGATAGCCCTCGTGTGCTTTGCCATAATTAAATAATCCCATCCAATCCTTAATTAAATATTATTGATTTGTAACTTCTACTAGAGCTGACGGTAAGAATTGAAGTGTAAATAAATAATATCGTGTGCAATTTTGATTAATATAAAATTAAAAATATTTGCATTCATACAGAAAGTTTTTTGAAATATTTGCAATTACTTTATAAGAAGGATTTATTAATAACCATAATAATTACTTATTATGTTACTGATGATTAGGATTCAGCTCTTGACAATTACATTCTAAATTAGAATTTTAAGGATATAATGAAAAAACACTACGCACAAAAATACATTTTAGGATAAAAAATGAGTTGATTTTTTATGTTTTAAAACTTCTTAAATTCATTTAATAAACATCGTACCCTCGTTTCTTAATTGAATCCAGAATGTTGGGTGTTGTTTATATAATTATTCTTACTTGTCCGCAGAACCTGCTGACTTATCCAGCTATTAAGTAGCTGCAGATCATTTATTTCTACATAACCATTGAACTTCCATTAATTCAACCTCTAGAGGGTTGTATGTTTATATCATAATTTGACTTTTATAAAACTGATTATTCTAAATCTTATGTTTCTATAAACATATACTGTGCTTTAAAAATATGGATGACAGTATCAGCCGCTTTTTCAGCCACTTCATAAGCAACAATTTGTTTAGAAATAAATTATGCTGTTAATGTCATAAAATATTTTCATAAAATTCAAATAAACATGAAACGAAAATTCTCAATTTTAGACAATTAGTTTTAAACGAAGTTAAAGTAAAGTAGCAGACGATAAAACACCGAAGGTAAAAATTTACTCTTATTTTTTTTTAAAAAAAAAAAAGAAGAAGAAAGAGAAATTTAAAAAAAAAAAAATATTTAAAAATTTGAATAATATTATTTATAATTAAAAAAAAAAAGCTTTTCATATAGTATTAATAAATATTTATCACGCATCATTGAGGGGAAAAAATTCATATAATTAATTCTCCGTAAAATTTTACTTGAAATTTAAGGTTAAAAATAGCTGTGGCAATTGACTGTAACAAAAATCCATAAACCACATTTAGCGTTATTATCGCTAAAAAAAAAGATGCAAAATTTCAAAATGCGAAAATATGTAAATTCGTGTATATCTTAGAAAATGTTCAATAAAAAAGTCTAATTTTTTGCAGATATGCTTAAAAATACACCTACTTTAAGGTGATGGTAAAAATTTTATAGGTTATAATTTAAAATTTTTTTCGAAAAATTTATAAAAATTATTTTAAAATAGAAATTTAAAAAATAAAACACAAAAAATGGGTAAATTTTATTTGGAACGAACCTAAGTTTCAAAATGTGAAAGGAAAAATAATAAAAGTTTAATAAAAAAAAGAGATATTAATAAATATTTACCAAATTCAATTAGCATTGAGGAGCTAAAATTTTGAGAGCTAATATTTTAAAAACTACTCGTACGATTTTTACAAAACGTGGTATTCTGGCATAATTTGAGTCGTAGAATGGAAATATGGAAAAATATTGATATGTTATTTCAGAAAAAGTCCAATTTTGTGTTAAAATACCTATGTTAGAATAGTGCTATATATAAATCTAATATATATCCTAAGGCGCGCTTTCGAGACATGAAAAACACAGTTTTAATTTTGTCAATCAGCCCAGTAGAACGGGAGATATAGCACTGCCCCCCCTTTTTTTTTTTTGAGCAGTGTACATCAGTGCTTTCATAAATTATGTCACCTAGAATTAAACACATTCGCATGTGTCAATGTAATCTTGCATCTACTGCATCAAATAACTGACTGCTCTGTTAAAGATATACTATATATTTTACAAATATTTTATTTAATAATAATGAAATATAACCTCAATTTTATGGTGCACCTTTTTTGCATAAAGAGTGTTTTTTATTTTAATAAAACAAAAAATTTTTAAATAATTTTATCCAAAATTATATTATGTTTTATTCAATATAACATAATAAATGTTATGCTGCTCTTCTGTCATCTTTAATAAAAACATACCTAAAAGTCACAAATAATTTAAAAAGGTAAATTTCATACCATTGCTCTTTTCATGTGAAAATAGCTATAAATAGTTTTATTCTTTATTACTTAATTGTTCTTTAAGTATATGTTATATTATATTTTTTTAATCATTCCAAAGTAAATTACAATGATAATTTTAGCACAATAGAGATCTCAGAATTTAATGCAGTGCTCCAGTGATCTTCAGTCTGTGTTCCATGGAACTTTCAGGTTCCAGTAAATTCCTCTAAAGATTCTGCAAGTTAAAAACGAACTTTAAAAAAATTTTGGGTGCCAAAGAGCATCTAAAATGATTTATTAAATAATACGTTTTTAAAAATTTTTCTAGTACTATTATTACCTGAAACTATGAAGTAAACATGTATATATGAGTAAAACTGTATTGAAAAAATTCGCTTTTCATTTTCCACATGAAGGTCATAAATTTTTATATATTTTGTGTACTTTTAAACTTTTATTATTTGTCAGAGGTAATAGGAGTTCTACCCAAAAAAGAAATAATTTTATGATTTTCTATACTTGTCAATGTTTGAACATTGCACTCTAAATTGATCATTCTTCTGCATATATATCAAAAGTCTTCTAAGAAATATTTTTTACCTTCTTATGCATATATAAGAAATTATATATGCATCATTAATATTTCATGTTTGCTGTTGATGTATGTAGTGTCTCTAAATTTTGATTTTTCATTTTATGTTTTGCAGAAGTGCCAATCTGTGCATCCTAACGATGTAACATATCAAGGCAGTACCCTTGTATGAGGCAGCTTCTGCTATCATTGTGACAGCAGAGTTCCAAGCCAAGCCACCGTGCTCAAGTTGCGTCCGTTACCTTATGTATTGCAGCAAATGTAGACTGCATTTCCTGGGCTTTATGGCGTCGTGTTGACCGATTCATTTGCTGCAAACATCCTGGATTTCCTTTTGATCTCGTGTGCTGCCCTCTGGATTGACTGCTTCTTATAGGGCAAACATTAGATAACGTGAATCGACATCCGGCCTCTCTGTTCATATGTATGCGTGTGTGTGTGTGTATGTAATTATGTGCAAGAATGATGTTTCTTCATGTTACATCATACTTTTTATCTTTCGTCCCTTCCCTGCCATTGTCTCATCCTGCGTGTGCATTTTCTTTGTTTACAAAAATACTGAATGAACAGTATGGCAGGCAATGCAGAGCTTAATATGACTGAGTCAACTGTACAACTTTTCAAAGTCAACTACATACATGTATGGCCTTGCTGAATGACTTATAAGGCTTGTATCAGTTTTATGTACATAACAAAAATAAAAGTGAAAAAGAATCACTGTGTAAAAACTGCCAGCAAGCCCATTCAATTCATATTTTTCTAAAGGATTCTTATTTAAACATGAATTCTAAAAAAAGAATGTTAGAATGGAATACGACTTGAAGCCAAATGAAAAAGCTGTAAAATATATATGTTTGAAGTAAAATAGGTTGTTGACTAACTGAACAATGTGTTCTTGATAAAGAAAAGTTCATCAAGGATTTTAATGTTTTCTATGTTGAAAATATTTGTAAATTATGCCATTGAATCTTCACTGATCATATCCATTTTATTTGGCATTACACAAGAAAAGTCCTTATGTCAAGAATTTTACTGTAAACTTTCGTTGGAGATTTTTTTTTTCCTTTTACTTTTCAACAACTAAAGAAGTACCTCTATTTGAAATGTTATTTAATCAAACACACTTACCTTCATAACCTAATCAAAATATAAAAATATAGTATGTAAAAAGTAATTTTCTAAAACCATTTCTCTCTTTCTCTATTTCAATTTTCCAGCGTAAGAATATTCAAGAATTGTAACTAAAAAGTTTCTTTTTGTGTTCTTCATTTGTTCTAAATGGCATTTAATGTGATTTTTATTGTGATTTTTAGTTTTTTAAACATTATTTCATTATTGAGTACTTTTTTCATATGTGCATTTAAAAATGTATTTTGTATATGAATTGCTGGTATTGGCCTTGTTAATTTAAGCCTTGTTAATTTGAAGGAGTTTTCTTGTTAAAACAAAATTGAAAATTTTAATAGTATTTATACACCTTATATTATATATTGAAGTATAGAAAACAAAAACTGTTTCTCAACTTGCTTTTTTGTGAAATTAAATATTTCATTTGAAGGCATTATAAAATCCATTCAAAATAAATTTAATGGTATAGTAAGAGTGTAAGATTTTTTTAAAAACAAACATATCAAAATTTCACAAACAAAAAAGTTTCTTGAAATGAAGCTGAATAGATTATAAATGAAAATTTAAAAACTTAATTATGATAAATTATCTTAATCTGTGAAATAAATCTATCCATAAATACAAGCAAAAGACTGCTAGGGATTCAGAATAAAAGGTTGTGTATTTTATTTTTTATATTTTTGCTTTTTAAAGGTTTGTGATTATTTATTATTCCTGCAGCTGCTTGTGGTATGTTAGATATTAATGAATTCCATGTTACATAATATCAATACATTAATGAATTCTTATGTTTCCATTAACTGAACAGATTCATTTTAGCTATTGTTTGAACAAATATCCCCAAAATTTCTTTAGTGAGAGCTTTAAGATCTCATTAAACATTAAAATTCGTTTGATGTATTTCTCATTCAAGTTTGATCTATAAATAAATATGTCCAATATTTTTCTCGCATATTTGTAAAATGTATATTGATCTTATAATACGTGCAAATGTTTGGACCACTTAATTTCCATCCATTACTCTTTGTACATAGCTACTTTTTACAGAATATAGTATTCAAATTTAAAAGCATTTTAAACATTGCAAACTATATGTTCCCATAAGCGGTATAAAAAAGAAATAAATAAAACGTAATTACTGTTTTTTTGTTGCATTTTTTTTCACATTTGTTTTAAGGTATATTGTCAGTCATTCTTGTTTGTCATTTAATTTTCATTCTTTATTTTCTGAGCTAAAGTGACAACAAATAAAAATTCAATATACAATGAAAAGCCATAATTAGATATCACAACACAAATTAAAAACTACTGCTACCAAATCAATTTTAACAAAATTTTTGAAGTTGTTATAGGCTCTTGAAAATAAGAAATAGAATTTCCTATAAGCATTGGATGCTGTGTTTATGTTAGAGCTCAAAGATTAGTAAGTCATCATGGCGTATTGCCTGATGAGTGCTCCAATTGTTATGCACTTGTCTTCAGAGTGTGAGGCTGACAATGCTTGGACCTAATGTTCCGAAATTTTAAGGAGGTCCACAAATCATCCTATAACTCCTTATAGCTCTCCGACAAATAAAGTGTGTGTTAGTGGCCCTGTTTGTCTTGGTATCATGCATAATGGCATTGCTGATTACTTTGCTTTATAATATGTACATTAGATCAGTATTATACTAGAAAGTTTATGCTTGAAAGAAACGTTTTCTTATTTCAGTACGACAAAATACTGAATTTGAAATTTCTTAAGTCTGGGAAACAGCTTTTGTTTTCATCTAAGCTTAATTCACCAATTATTTGAACAATATATAAAAAGTGTAAAATGCATGTACATTTGGTCAAATTTCATTCAGAAATTTTTTGTGATAGAAGTCTTTGTTAATTGTGTTATATAACTCTCGTCAACCTGTGCTTTGTCTACTACCTGAAAGATCAGGTGAATGTTGATAACTTTTAATAACTAGAACATTTCTCTTAGGTTTCTACATCTATTTCTTACTACATATTGTAAGAAAGATGGCACTTCTAGTCGCTTGACTTAAACAAGTAGATACTGAATATATATATATATACATATATATTTTAATTATTGGCATTTTTATGGGTTTCAATGAAATGTTGTGTAAAAGCTATTCGATATGATTTGATGCATGCAGGCATATTTCCTCAACCATATTAGTTCCTTATTTATTTTTATTTAATGACTTTTTTGCTTTGACAAAATGAATCGAAACTTTTAAGTTTGGGTGTAAAAAAAATAATTCTTAAATTGATGAATTTTCATGGGATAATTTAACATAATGTATATATTTACTGTTTATATATGCATAAATAAACTCCATGTTGAAATATTAGCATATGTGTTTTATTTATATTATTTTTTAATCAAAAACATAAGGAAACCCAGAGATATATTTCTTCTATTGGGAGGTTAGATTATTGGAATATATATGTAATTTTAAAAAAACACATGAAGGTTTCTGCTTAAAGAGAGAGATGCCATTCTGGAGGACTTTCTATGGGAAATCGGCTATAGTGAAGAGGAGAACATATAGGATCCATGCCTATTGCAATTATCAAATGTTATTTACTCACACTTACCTTCATAACCTAATCAAAATATAGTATGTAAGAAGTAAAGAACATTAAAAATGATAAAGAAGTAGAAATAACATTCATACCAATTTCTTTAAACAAAAATTTAATTCAAATTATATTAATCCAACAGCCAGACACTTGGCAATCTAAATGTTGTCTGGGAATGGCCGAATTAATTGATTATTTAGTTATCTCATTACCAAGAACACTATCGATGGTGCATCACAATAAATATTACACATGTAGGAAACAGGGATTGACAATTATATACATCCATGTCTCCTCTGAGATTTGATTTTAAGCCCAGCAGGATGGAAGCCTACTTCCCTAACCATCATACTGAAAAAGGCCATGTGGAGTTCTTGTCATTTACAAGAAGTCCAGATTAGAGCCAAGGTAAAGATTGTGGCTCACTTGTTCAATAGCAATTCTATGCAGTATCATAAAAAAGATGACGACTGATTTAGGCAATTTTTTTACACTTGGACTTCTCTTCCAAAAAATTCCGAAGACTAATATACAAAAATGATAAGGACAGCAAGATCTTCCACCCAGTGGAAGATATTAAATAGGATGATTCAGATTAGTAAACTACTATTGTTGTTACTTATGCTCTTTTTGTCTGACAGTAACATCAGCCCAAGCCCACAAAATTCCTCATGGCAAGAGCACAAGATATGCCTGTTGTTGGCAACAGCCTTGAGCACTATACAGGCTGACCACCCAGTATAGAGGTTAGGACCTGTCCCCCTGGGGTGCTGTCCTTCAAAGTTGTGGGCGGAACTGAGCTAAATCGTACTTACCTGAAAGGTGCTCAAGGCTATTGCTAATGGCAGGCACAATCTATCGTGCCTTGCCACGAGGAATTTCGTGGCTTGGGCCGACTATGTAAGACAAGTGAGCTTAAGCAACAACAGCAGATTAGTAAATGCCTAGCATTTCTAACATTACTTTCCTTTTCAATATTCTCTGAAATTTTTTCATATTTTTTTATTTTGTGATTTTATAAGAGTTTTGGAGTAGGTTACGTAAATTATAGCGAATAGCATTCCATGTAATAAATTATGTTTGTTACAGAAAATGCCACCGAAATGCATTCTGCCTACATTTCTTGACTAGAAGGTATGCACACATTTTGACTATACGCAGTAATGGGAACAAATTATTATCTCTGTATCATGTTGACAATAGTTTTCATTTCTTAATTAAAGAGAATAATATTTTGTTGGCTGCTAAAATTTCTAAATTTTTGTAAATTCAAATCTTTCTATATATTTTAAACTTGTCAAATAGAGAAATTATTGAATAATCAACTTTTTCTACAGTTTTTATTATCTGGGAAAAAATTAAAATATGTTATTTTAGATATCACTAAAAAGTAACTGTCGAGTTTATAAACAGATAAAATTTCAATTTTTATTTCAAAATTGCTTTTGTTGAACTTCTGTGAAAATTCAACATTTCTTAAGTACTAAACCAGTTTACCATTTGAGCAGTGAAAGACTTGTCCACTTGAAATGCATCTTCATCCGTTAGTAATGGCAGACTCTCGTCGAAGTGAAAAGACCATGACCCCTGAGATAAGACTTGTTGCATCACATTTTACAAACCCCCTGAATGAGTCGAAAATGAAAAGCAGTGATTGATGGGTTATTTGGTCATGCTGTGGCAACAGCGGGGTTGCATCAGAATCATGGGAGCGGGGCTGTATCAGGAAAGCAAAGATGAGGGATCACTGTCTCCAAGTAGATACTCCCTCAACACACATTTTGCGAGATCCACAACAATTTTCTCCCTTTTCTTAATGAATAAAGATGTTTGAAAGTTTTAATGATATCTCTTTAATTCCTAATGAGTCCTCCAGGATATACTCTGTATATTATTCTCTGAACTATAAAACTGCATTGAAATGTTATACAGTCAAAAGTCGTTAATCCGGACTCGTCGGGACTTCGGCGATTCTGGATTATCGATTTTTCCGGATTATAGATCATCAGTTTAAATCTGGTAAAATGGCATGCAGAAATTATAAAATTAAAAATATAAAACCGTAATTTACGAAATAAAGAACAATTATGATCTAAAGGGTATCAAAATTTACAAAAAAAAAGCTTAATATTTATTTGTTTACTTTATTAAACATTTCTTTCAATGTAAGTTGTTTAAGTTGATTCGTTTTTATGTGATAATACATTCTCTTTAATTCTATAAACAGACATAATTTCTTGTTCAGTTACAAAGTTCCGCTGTTCACGTCCTGTAATTGCTGTGTCGAGAATACCGACTAATTTGTCAATCGAAATTTTTTCGTTTTCAATAACCTCTGTCACTTTCTTCGCTATCGGAAGCGAATTATAATGACGAGGCATTTGATTTAAATCATATCAAAGATGGAGTACATTGAGATGAAATACTACATTGAGTAAGCAATTATAAGCCAAATAAAATAAAAACATCTGCCCTTAAGATAAGGATAGTGAATTCTTGCACGCCGCCGCCGCGTTAAAGATAAACAAAGTTTAGATAAACAAAATATATGCCTTTATCCATTTTTTGCAGCAATTCCACTTTTTGTGTAATGGGCTCCGAAAGATACTTTCGCTTTGTATATCCTTTACATATTAGTAAATATATATCGAAAATTCTATTTGACATAATCGAAAGTTCAAGCTTACTTTTATAAAATTGCTCTAACAGTCTGCAAAAAATAATAATCCGGATCCAATTCGAATATTAAGGAATAACGCAATCTGCAACATTAACTGAAATAGATAATTAGATAATTTTAGCTTAGCTTATCCCGTCCGTTATACATTAAACGCGCATTCATAAACGTATTTTGCGCACGCAAATTCGCAGCGGTAAAGGTCTTACGCGCATGCGTCAACGCGACGCATGCGCAGAAAGGTTGTAGCTTTGAGGTCCGGATTATAGATCATTCCGGATTATGGGTGTCCGAATTAACGACTTTTGACTGTACTTGATATAAGTATTTTATTTTTTCACCTTAACTGTACAGATAGAAATATTATTTGGTTTAAATTATCACTATGTTGCGTCAATTATAAATGACATTGTTGAACTGAAATTTTCAAAGTTGCATTTCATTTTTCAAAACTTAAATTATTAATTAATATTTCACTTTTTAAAAAAATATCATTAATTGAGAGAGCTACAGCGTTAAAAGTACGGGAATTTTAAAAGAAGCAATAATAATATGCAGAATTTGGATTCCTGTATTGTTTTATTTCCTTCCTAAATGGATAATTATATTTTGCATGACACATTTTCCCAAATATGTATTTTTTTTTAAATATATATATATATATATATATTTTTTTAAAAGCATACTATATAAAAAGTAACCTTTTTCAAAGAAAGGTCAGGCTTTTTATACTAAGGATTAAGTGGATTAAAAATATGTATAAACCTTATGCTTTTAAACAGCAATGCAATATTAACAGTAAATATTTTATCATTAAAATCTGCAAAGGGCAGAAATATCCCTCAGTTTCGATAAAGTAGATAAACAATGCATCCCACTAAATGAAAGATGCATATTATATATCCATGTGTAAAATAAATATGAGCCAGTTTCCATTAGAAAATATAAATACTGTATGAAATCACCACTCCTCTCGGGCAAACTCTCATATACATCGTCATATTCAGTAGCATAACCTATAGAATGCCTAAAAGAATTTCCTATGTTAATTTTTAGTTTTTCAGGAATTTATTGGTTCTACTGTTTGAATGAAGAGTTACGATTTCATTTTGAGTACTTACTTTCTCTGCACATTATTTTACTATTTTTACTTTTTTGTACAAAGTAAAGGAAATAGTGTAGTCTCCAAAAATAATAATATTTCAACAAAATATCCATCTTGACTACTCCTGAAACTATTCAGTCGATTGTTTTGTGTTTCAGCAAATCAGTTACAAAATTTCAGAAGACAGAGTACACCTAGATGATGGAAAATCACATAGCAATGCATGGAACGCTTCCTTGGAGTAGTAGTCAGTGCTTAAATTGTGCCGGAGCCCGGCTCCGGTACTTCTCAATTTTTAAGATAAAATATAATTCTAGCCGGAGCGCAGTCCCCTCACTCACATGCAGGAACCTTTCATTTTAAGAAGGGCAATAAGTTTGGGGAGTTTGTCTATGAACGCGTAAATTTCTCGCCATGCCTAGTGTAATGTTATCGATGGTTACAGTTAGTTATCCTTGCAGGAAGGAAAATTTGTGTTCTTAAATGTGTATTAAGTGACAGCGAGTACAATAAGAGTGAAATACCGAGATAAACTGCTCAAGCACGTCCTATACATTGTCTTCCTACAATACCCACTAATGTAACCAAGTACGGGTAAAGCGAAAAGCTTAACCAGCAATTTTACATTCATCCTTAGGAGTCAGATTCAGGACTCATTTTACCATTGACACACATCCGCTTGATGGCTATAATTATATCAGCAAAGAGCCGTGGTCAAAGAAAACGTTCTCTCTCACCAAGATTCCCCTCATTTTTTGTTTCCACCCACTCATACCCTCATTATCTGAATTTTCATCAGCTATATTTTAAGTATATTTAATTTTTCTGATGATAAAAGAACTCCCCCCCCTACGATCAGAGCTCAAATTGCGCTCACCGGATCCCTGCTCCGATGCTTCTTAGTTTTTGTAATTAAATCACAATTTTAGCCGGAGCACCCTAAAATAAGAAGGTTGCGGCACTTCTTTTATGTAACTGAATAACAA